CTTTTGTTTGGCTGGTGTTTGTCATGTTTGCTTGCTCGTCTTCCTCACTCATCTTGACCTCTCCCAGTCTGAGCAGTTTAGACAAGGCTTTGATCAGAGCAGACACGGGCTTTTAAAGGGGTTGGCCCTCTGAGGGCTGGAACATTCTGTGAAGACGCCGAATTGTGAATGGTGCTCTTTGGAAGTTTCTCGTAGCACATGTGTACAGGACGCTCGAGGCCACACGTTCGCCTGGAGAAGGATGCGCCATTACAGCGACCCTAACGCATTTTTGTTCTGCACGGTCATCTCGGTTCGAGGCTTCCAACTTTCAAAATGGTATCACTGGGTAAACCCAGTTACGTGCACGCTGTCGTCTGAGTGGGCAGGAGCCCCCGTGGAGGCTGGACACGGATACGAGGAGGACAAAGCCGTCACATCGTCCACAGGCCGAGAGGCCGCCGCCGCCGCCGCCTTCATCTGTGCGGAAAGCTCGCTCTCTCGGATGGAAGGCTGGGGCGAGCTGAAATGGCACACACGTGCAGCGGACCACAGCTTCTGGGCTCCACCCTGCTCTTGGTGCGTGGGGCAGAAGGGGCGCCCCAATGGGCAGACTCTTGTGTGAGCAGAGGCCTGTGGCCAGTTCCTCATCCCAGTGAGCCGAAGGCATTGTGGTGATGTCAGAGTGTTTTTGGTCTCTCTACAAAGCTTCGTTAGTATGGCGGCACTTCTCTAAGCTGGAATCTCAAACCAAAGGCACTTTCATGCTAGGGTGCAGACGGTTCACAAATAGCTAAGTATTTGGTCAGGACTTTAAAAAAGGCAACGTTAAAGGTACAATTTCACTTGTTCAGAAATCAACTACCAAGTTGTAACCCTCCCGTTTGGGGGTGGACTTTGGAGAGAACCGACCGGGGCGCAAACTGCAGGCCAAGTCGTCCGTGTCCTACAGAACTGGAGGAGCGTGGACTTACTGCGCATGAGGACCAACGCACGGTGTGTGGAGCTGTTGTTTGGCTGTACGTACTGGGCCAGTCAGCAGTGGGTGACGAGAACGGGGGTCAGAAAGGCTGGTGGCAAGTCTAGTGTGTCTCTAAGGCACTGCTTACTAGAACGCTTTGGCAGCTCTGCATTGAAAACTTCCTAAAAAAGTCACAGTAGTAAGAGAAATGCTCCCAGCTTACAAAAGGGCTCACCGTTCCCGAGGCAGCCTTTTGCATGGCACGCCCCCCGTGCAACATCTCGAGAGGCTTAAGGCTTTTCAGAAAGGACAACAGGTGCAGGGCGCTGCCACAGTAACATCCACACGACGTCAGCAATGCGGACACGCCCTCCCTGACGTGCACAGGTGGGGACACCAACACGCGGGAATCGGTTCGAGCAGTCGGTAGCACAGGTGTAGTGTACCAGAACACAGAAAAAGGTGTACAAATTACATGTACCTGGTTTGTCAGAGTGACGGTCACGTCATAGGATTCCAATAAGTTACGGGTATACAGAAACAAACAAAATTACCAAAAACAAGTTGCTAAAGCCACTAACGGTATTGAAACCTATGGGAGACTCGGGTCTGAAAGTCACCTGGGGACTCATAACACCAAGTGCTCGCACGGGGGCTGCTTTTTGGCTGGTCTGCTGGGATGCTTTAACGAACAGAGATTGGGCTAGCGGCCTGTGGCAAGTGAATTGTCCTCAGCGTAGGTGGAAGGCTCACCGGCTTGTTGTACCTGCTGCGAATGCCCCAGGCAGCTACCGCCTGACAGGACCCACCAGTGGGAAGAAGTATTGTCAGAAGAAGCAGGTGCTTCAGCAGAAGGAAGGGCCTATCATTCTCTCACTTCTGAACTGCCCCTGCCCACACCCCTCTGAGGGAGCAGCGAAGCACAGGGCACTAAAGAGGGCAACTGCCACCAGACAGATCCATGGGTTAAGTGGCAGCGGTCTCAACGCCTCACTCTTATTCTGTCACACTAACCACAGGGGTGACTCTGGGCAAGCCATCTCCCCTTGGGGGTCTCACTCAGCTTTCCCATCTACAACCCCAAAGAACAGAAGCTGTGCCTCCCTCCTTCGCCCCTAGAGGTAAACAGAAATGTTCCAGAGGCTTCCGTAAATTCTACAAACAGTGCTGATTGTAAGGCAGAAAGGAGCGGCAGCCCAGAGGAGATTTACGGAAACGATGAAAGGCTGGATCATGAGACCCCTAAGTGTATGAAAGTATCTAGGTTTTCTGTCTTGTTTTGAATCCTGGTGCGGTACACTAGGGTTGAGGATCAAACAGGAAGCGTTCTTTCCACTGGTGTGGGCTGATGACAGAGATGAGGGTGATCTGCTAGGCTCGGCTTCCTCAGCTACAAAGGAAAGAATACTTGTAGCAAGAGAGTGAGGGTGTTACTGACAGAAGCTCTGAAACAGGCATGTGGACACCACGTCACTCACTGAATGCCCCTCCCTATGTACTGGTGAGCTCAACCAGGCCTTGCGGGAGACGACCGACGTGGGCCCGGTGAGTTGGCAAGGAGCACCCATCTCAATGAGAGGCTCTGGCACTGTGAGGCTGACGGCAGTGGTTCTCAACCTTGGTAACCCAGCAACCTAGGGGACACTTGGCACTGTCTCTCCAGACATTATGGGTTGTCACAACTGGGGTGTGTGTGTGTGTGTGTGTGTGTGTGCGTGCGTGTGTATGTGTGTGTGTATGAGGGTTGGGGGGATTGTTCCCCTGGCTTCCGGTGCCTAGAGGCCAGGGATGCTGCCCAACATCCTACAATGCAACAAGGAACCATCTGGTTCAGAAAGCTGAGGCTGGGGGACCTAGGAGGGAAGCTGGGGTACACGTGTGGTTCTAGGACATGTTCTGAAGAAGCCTGGATTCTACTGCAGGCCTCTCACTAAGATGGAAACGAAGGCCAACAGAGACCTGGTCTTCAGCTCCAGAAAAGATGTCTCCAAACGTGCCAGTGAAAGCAGGAGGTGTCCCTGAAGCCGACCTGGCAGGGGAGGGGAGACAGACAGAGCACCGGAGTGCCAACAGCGAGCAGCGTGGCCAGGGCTTGGTTTAGGGCTGGGAAGCTTTCAAGACAGGGGAGAAGAATTGGCCACACAGTGTGAGGAACACGAGAATACCTCAGCTTGGCTGTTACAACACAAAGCTCTCTCTAGCTTCTCACTTGGGAGGGGCAGAGAGAGGTCCAAGCATTAAGGAAAATATCTGTCTGGTAGCTCTTGAACAAGAGAAGATGCAAATGATAAAACAACTTATACATTTTTAAGAGTAGAAAGTAACCCTCTAACTCAATTCTGCAACCCCCTGAAACTCAAGTGCACAGGCACAAGGAGAAGAGGGCACAGAGGGCCAGTGAGTGAGATCAGCAGAGAGGGTATTTCTTCCTCTGCAGCTGGAGCGCCGTCTTCTACAAAATGTGCCTGGCTCCCACAAAATGTGCTTTGCAAAGTGAAGCCTGAGCGCCCGCCTTCCGGCAGCACGATCATTCTGTGTGTGACTGTGAACCCTCTGAGGTCTGGAATGGCCTGGGTCTGAAGTGCCTAAGACAATGTGCGGCCCCCATCCACCCCCACCCCTTCGGGAGTCCTGGCCACAGGAGACTAGGGGCTCCCCCTCGAGGACAGACGCAGGAAACAGAGCAAAAGAAACATCCCTAAATGGGATGGCCAGGAAAGGTCACTGCGAACGTGGTAGCCACAGAAGTGAGACGCGTAGACGCCTGGGCTGGAGGCGGACTGAAGGGCAGACAGCTGGTGTGAAGGGCTCCTCAGAGGCCCTCTGGAGCCAGCACAAACGGAAGTCTTGGTGGAGGGAGGTTTGCCTTTCCTCCCTGCTCTTCCCAATGACAGTCTTCATTAGTTTGCCACCAGGGGTCAGCCATACCTTATGGTGCTGCCCCCCAGATTTGGACCAAGTGTGCAGACAGGGTCAAAGCAGATGCCGAGAAGGCAAGGGGCCTGTGGAGGGACATGGGCATGGCAGAAGGAAGTGTCTGTTTTCTGGCTTGATGAAGCAGTCTCGACCATGCTCACAGCACTCAAAATTCATTTCCTATTCTATGTTCCTGTTTGAACATAGTCACAGTAATGACCGAGTTTGGTTGTTGTTGTTGTTTTACCTTCAAGAAGCTGTGGGGAGGAGGGGTACCCTCTTGTCTTCTACTCAGTCAAGCACTTAGAAATCACCCAAGACATATGGCCATATCAAACCAACTCAGCCTGGGCAATGCTTTGGAATATTTGGATTGGAAAGCTGAAAACCTCTCCCAGGAAGAGAACCTCTCAAATGAGCCTGTTTGCAAAGGCCAGATAGACAACTGGTCTCTCTTTAACTGGAAGTCAAGCCAGCACTGGGACTTACTGAGAGAGGTCAAGTAAATGGATGTCCTTAGAGATAAACTATCTAGCTCTACGGATACAGATGGAGATATACATACCTATCAGCACCTAGTAAACTGAGTGACACTAAACTAGATGTTCAATAAATAAGTGTTGAGTAACTCCACATGCCGATGTGTGTCTATGCGCGCGCGCACGCACACACACACACACACACACACTAATTAAAGCACTAGCAAGATCACATGGACAGTGGACCACCAGGAGAAAAGAAGTCACCCACAGGCTGGTGAGGATGCTCGCAACTTTCTGGGGAGCAGAGATGCACAAAGCAGCTGAGCCTTCCTTTCCCTAGTTTGACTGATGGAGTTTTCTCCTAGCCACAGGACTTTCTAGACCTTGCCGCTCACAGTGCAGTGTTCATGCCAATTTTAAATTCTGTGATTAAATTTCAGTGGTTCAAATATTTACTCATCTTCATAATAATTAAAAAAAAACACTTGGTTGTCCATATAAAATATAACTGCACACACAAGACTAAACATTGTAAATTTTCAATATGTATCTAACTTATTGCAAAAAGAGCCATCTGTTCTTTTTTTTCATTAAATAATCAGATCATCACATTAGTACAATATAATTTTATATTTTTAAATATACTATATATGTTAAGAATAAGGGGGTGACGTTTTCTTTCTTGGTAATAATACCTGTTTAAGAGTTAAAAATGGATTAGGAGATTAGTTTTTAACCTTGAGGAACAAAGAAACCAAAAAAGAGGGTACAAATTTGTCTCATTAGGATATTCCTACCAAGCATTTAAGGCTGTATTTTTTAACATTTGGTTTTCAAAAACAAAAAAAAAAGATTTCATTTAAAAAATAATTTAGTGAATTACATTCTTCCATAACTTCCACCCTAATTAGTTACAAAGATAAGTCTAAAGATTCTTAGTTTTGTGTACTCATTTACAATTATATTTAAAGATTAATTTTACTTGTATCTTAAAACAAGAGTTTTATGTTGGATTAAAAAAAAAGGAACTAAATTCATTTGAATCAAGGCTGTAAATGTCCTGTGGCAAATGTTCATCCCACTTGTTTCTACCACAACTGGACACAGGTCTCTGCCGACAGAGACTCAGGTCTCGGGTCCTCCTTCCTTGAAGGATTGGGGACTGCAGGTCCGAAGGACACAGAAATAACGCTATTTCTCTTGTTTTAACAACTGAACCAGAACTTCACAGCTACAGTGGTGGCAGGAACACATGGAAAATGACTTCACTCAAACAAGGTTTAGAAAAGTTGGGGGGTGGGGTGACCGCAGGGCTAGGGCATCACCCCCGGGTGGGGAGGTTTACAGTCTGTCAGTCGTTCGATAATGGAGTGTGTATGTGTGTGCACGTGTGTTTGTGTGCGCGCGCATGTGTGTGTGTGTATATATACAGGTATCTATATATATAAATAAGCATGTTCAGTCCTTTACAAGCCTGTAGATATGATGCTGTGCTCCGTGTTCACTATTTGAAACTTCAAATACACAGGCCATGCAGAGGAGGGTTTCTTGTGTATCCCTGTTTGTTACCACCTGTTTAAACAAACAAACAAAGTAAATCAGGGCACAGAAGTACATCTCCATCACCAAAGGGATGAGCCCACATTCCATCTGTGCTATGACAACCGTGATGGAGAAGCACAGCCTTTGATCAGCCACACGTGCACCTCCACCCCACGATTTTAGGACCCCAAGGGTCCCCCTCTCCCTTGAATCCGGCCTAAACTGGGTTCCCAAATGGAAGACCCACCTTGTAGACAGGGCCTCCTTCATACCGTGGGCCCAAGAAGAGATCGCAATAATTCACTTTGTTTCTTTACAACAGAGACATTCCCCCCTAATTCTGCCATCTGTGAGTCTCACCGGTCATCTCATTCTTTCAACATATCTTGAATTCTACTACAGAGCAGCCAACCGCGGATGGGAGCTCAGCCAGTGGGCTGACTCACTGCCGCATTAACCAGCAGAACTGGGCCTCAGGACGCTACTTGGTGGCAGGAGGAACAGGTAAGACTAGGATTATGACAAATGGTAATGGTTTTTAATTCGCATCGGCAAGTCAATTCATCCGCTCTCTTGGTCTCTGGAATGTGCAGCTCTCCTTGCGCCCAGGACCTCATTCTTGGTTCAGGTCTGGGGCTCTTGCTTCCCCACTGGCCTCAGATCCTTCCCTCCTCACTCTGCTCCTCTCCCCCAGGCATGCTAAAAGCAAATCTAATCAAATGCCTTTACTTACTGGCATCCCTTCAAAGACTTCCTGTGTGGAGAACTAGCAAGACAATCCATTCAGAGAGGCAGGGACCATGCAGTCAGAGTTCGGGTTAATTCTGAAGGCTGCTTACTGCCCATCACCTTCAACAGCAGCAGAGAGTGCTGAAGTGACCCGGGGCTGCTGGCACCCCAAACTCTCAACTGCTCTATTTTCATCAAAAGACCATTTTGGGAAAATGATATTAATGAAGCATCGTTTGTGGTTGTAGAAAGGAGTTTTAAAAAGTCTGTGGAAAAGCGGAGTACAAGCTAAGGAAAATTTCCCACAAACTTTTTGAAGCTCTCATATTCCCAACTGCCATAGGATCAGCCCCTCATTCCCCATAACTCCATGCACAAGGCACCACCTAGTTCTTTCAAGCCCTGGATCCCTGGGCACTGTACTGTGGTGACCCATGGGATTTTCCATCAGTCGGTGTCCTGAAGTAGATACCAGGCCTTTCTTCCTATTTTACTGGGAAACCAGCACAGCCACATGCATGTGTCCCTGGCTGGCTGAGTGGCGGCTACACGAGGTGCACTGGTGCAAACGGAAAGCCAGGTTCTCCCACACGAAGGGGAGATTTCAATCCCTAAACCATCACTGCCCGCTATCCTCCAAAGAGTTATTAAAGAGCACATATTCCAAATTTTTCTGCAGATTCCTGGTTTCTACATTACAGAGACTCTACTGAGCTTCCCTGCCTAGGATAAATGGAAGCTGTCTAGGAAGCAACAGATCCGTGATCACAGACCAATCCGCTACACAGGTGGCTCTCGATTCTGCACATCTGACTTTACCTGGGAGTTTCACAATCAGCCAACAAAAGGTGATGCTGAACTGCATCCCTCAGATTAAAAAAAAATCCCTGGGCAGAGCTAATATACCAGATGTTTTCCAGTTTTATTTATCTGGCCAGTGGTATCCTAGAGCTGGCTTCCAGTTGTTCATGAAAGTTAATCATTAAATAAAGGGAACAGTGGAGCCAGAAATCATTGGTAGCTTGAAAGTTCTCATGGACGTTGTATTTACACCACAGAAATTGGCAGAAGCTACTGACCAGGGTTCTTTGAAGCGTGAGGGCAGCTTTTCCTTTGACCTCATACCACTGACCGAGGACACCACGTGTGTCCAATGAATCCCCAAAGTCAGGGGACAAGTCCTTCTCTTAATATTTTAGTTCCTTATCCCAGTAACGAGGTAACCCTTCAGGAGGCTGAATATTAGGCCATGGTATTCTTTTTCTGTCCCTTGTAGCAAAATTGTTTTTGCCGAGTGTCATTTTGGCATGTGTCCCTCTTTTTCATCAGGAATGCCATTTTTAAGATGAGTTTCATGAAACCTATCACTGTCTAATTTTATAGGTGTGCTAAGGATATTGTTGCAATACTTATCCAAATCCCCAGGGAGAAAATAGTTTAAGAGTGAAAAATCCGGGGAAACTGATATGTTTTCTCGTCGGACATCAGAACTACTTTTTCCCCTTCCCCCTTTATCTGCCCGAGCATCTTGTTTTTGTTTTGCTATCCAGAAGTTGTGCCCATACTTTCCTATTTCCCTAACAAGGGTAGTGCCTCTCCTGTACCCTGCCCTTTTCCTGGTCACCGCATGCTCTGGAAAGTTACGGTTCTTGTGGACTGAGTGCACCTGATGGGGCCTTGCACAACGGACTTCTTCTCCTCACTGACCACCCAGTTTGGTGGGTTCCACCGCCCAGACCCCAACAGGCAGCCTCGGGGCAGAGCCTCCCAAGACAGGAAAGAGCAGAAACCATTACCAATAAAATTGTGAAGTTTTCCAAAACACTGTTCATCATATATTTCTCAGGTAGGTGTTTGAGCTTGTGGATGAAGTTGATCATATATTCACACATCGGGGAGCGGTTTATTCGGTACACAAATCGGCCATTCTCAAACCTTGCGTACTCCGTCTGTGAGGGAAAAAAAGCATTTGAGCAGTTTTAGACCGAACTTAAAACATGCACCAAACAGGTAGGTCTGCCTTCAAAAGCATGCCTGGTGAGCCGATCAAACCCCTGCTAACTGATGTACTATTTGTGTTGTTTCCTTACAGGGAATTTAATTTCCAAACTTATATAACTGTTATACACAAAATGCATCATTATTTTTCCACCCCGTTAATTTAACAAACACACACACACACACACACACACACACACACACACACACACGAGCACGCATTGGAAAGAGGATAGCTTTACAGGAAATTTCTATAGGTTTTTTTTGTAGTACAGGTCAGGGGGAAAAATCAGAACTGCCTACCTAGTGACTCTCTGCTTGGAGAAGGTCTCTGAGAGTTGGCCCCAGTGAGCTGAGACTCCAAGAAACCCCAGAACCTCTCTTTCCCTTGAGCAGGTCTCCCAGGTTACCAGGCCACAGCAACCCTGAGCCTCTTCTCATCAGCTCTGACAAAACCACCTGCTGCTATCGGGCAGGGACAACTCACAGGGACTAGCGGAGTCTTACAAGGCAGGAGGTTTCCAAGGCTGTAAATGTGGACACAAGCAGGCTGCCCCATTCTCCTCCCACGGAGCGGCTGGTGGTTCAGATGGCCGGCCTTTCAGCTAGCAGCCCAGCGCTTTAACCACTGCGCCACCAGGGCTCTGTGATGGTCGGCTGTCTATGTGTTTCACTAAAGTGAAATGTTAAGATATCAGTCTCTCATCAAAATATTCAGACACACACTTGGACCTAACCCAGATCAAAGAGGAAGGACACACCAGCCAGGGCGCAGCGAGTGCGGAGAAAAAGGCGTGGGGTCAAAACAGGGCACCATCGGCTCTCTCTGGAGAAGAATGAGGCAGCTTCCTATGGCTTTGCCGTAAGGAGGAGACATTACGGAACAAAAATGTACAACTTGAAAAAAAAAAAAAGGCCACAAAATAAACCCAAGCTGCAAAGGAAGCAAAGGAAAGCAGGCACAGAAAAATGAGGACAAAGCTCAAGCCAAGGGAACCCAATGTAAAAACCTGGGCAGAATTAGCTGACAAAGCTGATCCACGGAAAAGGCAAAATCAACAAGCCCTTCATAAATGTGTGTGTGGGGGTGAGGGGGGGGAGAAAAAAAGAAAAAGTGTAATTTTTTTAAGGTAGGGCTACGACAGACAGACAAAAGCCATAATTACAATGAGATGAGGAGATTTTCAAAAGGCAACTTCACAACTCTAAGGATAGAAAAGACCCAAATCCCCACATTACCCCAAGAAGAGGTGGGAAGTGGGACAGGCTGAAACTGCTTTCAGAGGGGCTGAACCCAGCGTGAAAAAGTTGCACCCACCAATGCCTTCCTAACTAAGGCTCGTGAAACCTTTACAGGACAGTCAACGAAACATGCCAGACCCAGGGACAGGAACGCCCCGGTTCTTCTGGTGAACGCAATACCCACTCAGTGCCAAGGAGGGCTTCGTTCAGCAATGCCGTGAGGGTTCACACACAGGATATCAACAAACAGGAGGAGGAAAACCACACAGCAAGAGTTGCTGAAAAACCATGTGAGAAAATACTGCAGCGAGACTAAAAGCAACGCAGGCACCACAGGAATAGAAAGCACTTACATACTCTTTTTAATAACGACTACTTAAAAAAAAAGTAAATATAACCGTAAATGGCAAAAAGAAAAACAAAAACAAAAATCCCCATATCGTTTCTATTAATCATAGCAATTATAGAAGGATAAGGAGCCCTAGAAGCATAGTGGGTGTTCCTGTGTGGGGCTGTGAATCGCAAAGTGGAGGGTTCAAAGCCACCAGCTGCTCCGAGTGAGAAAGATGAGACTTTCTGCTTCCATCAAGACGTACAGCCCTGGAAACCCACAGGGGCAGTTCTATAGGGTGGTTCTGAGTGGGAATTGACCCGATGGCAGATACAAGGATACCAACCATGATTCTATTTATAACTGAGTTAGAAGTTTAGCAAATGAGAAAGTAATCATTTTTTAAAGC